TAAAAACGTTTGTCTGTTAAAACAGGAGTATTAAAATTCCTGAGAATTTTTGTTATATAGGATTGCTGATTGTATATAAATCTTTCCCCATCAATTAAACTCTTAGAATAATTAATTAGATGACATTATATCATTTTTATGACAAAAATATTTAGTCCTAGTACTGTCTTTGTAAGCATAGTCTTTTCTTGCTTGATTAAACGGTTATTGTATTACCATTCAGAGACGATAATTTAACGAATGCAATTTTTGCATTGAAATGTATATATTCCGGTGTTGTTAAGTAAATACTTTAATTTTAAATATCCCCGTTTATCATGAGTGGCATGAATGTCTCGGTTACATAAGACAAACTGCTATTGAAGACGGCATAAAACATTATTTTTTTATTTTAAACCAGTATTTGTATACTAATGCAAAAAACGCAGTGTCCGAGTGAACTACTTTAATTGATGTGCACTTGAATACAACAAACTTATTTATATTCTCCAATAAAATGTTGCGAAAGAAACCATGTATGATTCCTGCACGCGTCTAAAAACCTTTGCGTTCAAAAGAAACATAGTTCGTATGTTTTCCAACAATACGAGTTTTTGTTAGGATTGTTGTTTACTTGACATGAATTCAGGCAATAATTCCTTGTTCAGTCCACATCCGCATGATGACATCAGTTGCGGGTGAATGACAGAGTTTATTACTATATATTGCATAAAAAGTCGTGTTTATGGGTAACCCAATCCTGTTTGTGGTCACGTTGTGCGGTCATTTACCGTATTTTTAGTAAATTTGCTTGAGTGTTGATTATACTTTGTACTGATTCTTGATATGCCCTTCCTCTACGTACCCCTACAAGAAAACTGGTATTTTCTTCCACTAGAAATTAGGTATTTAATGTTGGAATTTGGCTGTTTTTGTTGTTGTTGTTGTTGTTTTTTGTCAAACGGTGACATCATTGTAAATTGGGTTTTATTGATCATGTTTCGTCAAAATACATCACCAGATATAAAGAAATTTTCAAAAGCTTGACATGGTTTTATTCAATTTTCGATTCTATATTGGAGACGTTTTTACTTTTACCACTTTAAAAAATTGCAACAAGGAAATATTTCAAAATTCGTTATTTTAAGAACCATTTGGTGGTGAGATTGTCATAACAGAATAGACTAGAGTGTATACGAAAGCAAATCGCTTTTTACATCTCTGACGTAAAATTGTGCCTTGTTTACAATATAAAGCGGTTATGGTTTTGTACCCAAGCTTATTTGCCCACAGATCAGTACTTGAAAAACAGTTTTTGTTATTATTTTGGACAATGTTTTTATGAACTTCAGCATTTCTTTGGTCTTTTCATGTCGTGAAGTCACATGTATATATAAAAATAGTGCGCATTTTCCTTTTAAGGATGAACTTTTCCTCAGCGTGAGAATAGAACGCTTGTTGCGGTGTTTTTCTTCATGGACCCTTTTTACTATTAGATTGGAGTAAATTCCAAGTCCTGTCTGACTGAACTGGACAATTATGTCTCCTCCATGTTTCGTTTTCAGATTGAATATTTTAAAATAAACTGAACGTAGCTATGTTTGTGTTAGTAATTGACACACAATCATCACTTTCACGTTCGTTTTTCTTTTATCGAAAGTAGTAAGAGCTGCAGCTTAATCGCACCTTGGTTCAACTGGAACAACCTGGCATGGCCTGGTGGTTAGGACGCTCGATTCGCAATATGTGGTTCCGGGATCGAAACCTAGCGACAAGCATGATCGCCCTTTCAACCATGGGGCGTTATGACGTGGTGGTAAATCCAATTATTTGTTTTTAAAGAATAGCCCAAGAGATGACAGTGAGTACTACCTGCTGGTTAACTTTCCTGTTATCGGCAGTTCCAAATCAGGGACGGCGACAAATAACCGTAGTAGCTTTGCCATAAACAAAACAAAAACACAAAATGAACTGAAGCATTACATTTTTAATTTTCACATTTAATGACAAAAAAGGGAAGGTGAAACAAGTCTCAGCGTTCATATATATTCAGAGAATAAGCCTAGTGGTTTTAATCATTAGCGATATTAAGTATATATCTCAGCCTTGTGCTCCTGTTCAGTTTGTAATATTTGTTTTTTTCATTCATTTGTTGATACACTCATATAATAACCTACTCCTTGCATGCATTCTTAGCGTTAGGGCTATTTACTTTTTCTTTTTTTATGCAGCCAAATAATTAAAACCCTAATGTTACATATAGTGCCATTTTTCATTTTATTTGGTGGAAAAAAAAATCTTTTACATTTACTACTTCGACAGATAATACAATTAATTTCCTGATTTTAACATTAAACCTACAAAATGTATTCTGATAATTGAAAGTGATAATTTCAGACCCAAGAATGTGAAAAACATTAAATGTACCGTATAGTATCATATGGTTACTACTGCATTTTTGCACGTGTTGAGTTTTAATGAGTTACACGAGTGTTTGTTTAAGCGGAAAGCTACACAACGGGCTGCCTCTGCTCTGCCCACCCCGCGTATCGAAGCCTGAATTTTAGCATTGTGAGCCCTCAGACTTACCACTAAGCCATCGGATGGCGTTACGTGAGTTACATTTCAAGAAGAAACTCAATGTTTTGCAAACCTTTTTGTTTATGATGTTTTAATAAGCATGATTCTATAATATGTATATACATTTGAATAATAGGTTTGTGTATGGCTGTTTAAGTATGTCTATAGTAATTCGCAATTAAAATTGTGCTTATCTATATGTTTACTTGGTTTTTAAATTCCTCCCACGTTTTTGCCAAAACGGGTTGAAATTTTGGCATATATGTTCTTGTCCCTCACAGAATATAAATGAAATAATAAGTTTCGAAAGAGCCTTGGGAGGATCTCAAATGTGGAAGATCAAGGAGTTTGAAGACACTCTGGTCCGCTTGGACCGACTTACTTGAAAATTGGTAATAACATTTAAAAATCTATATAAATCTAAATTTCGAAAATTAGTCAGCTTTTTGGGATTCTCAGGACTGAATCCATGGATTGGTACGGTTTGCATGTTTGCAATTAAGCATAAAGCTACACAATGGATTATCTGTGCTCTGGTCACCACAGGTATCGAATCCAGGTTTCTAACGTTTTAAGTCTACAGACTTACCGCTGTGCCACGGGAGGGGCGGATTGGTATGGACATGCAAGGGATAATTCAAAAAATATTTATGTTCATATTTTTGCAATTCTCTTATTGATGCCTCAAAAAAGTGGATCAGGGGTTTTTGAGAAATTAGGATTGGCGCACGAAATTACGTCAAAATTGGTATGGAGAAGTAAAATATCTACTTTTACATGTTGCCAATGTTTCATTCCTCCCATCTTATATATGAGGAAGGGTGTTTTGGGATTCTTCGGGGTTCAAAATAAACAACCAAACACACAAAGGTCATTCAAACCAAGGTGTCACCATGTCCAAATTGTTAGAGTAATTTACTGGTATCTTATGAATAAAATCCTGTAGATATGTTAAATATTTAAATAGGTATCACAGCTTCGGCATATAAAACGTTATGCTAAATTTTAAAATTAGATAATTCATAAATCGTATATCCAATATATTTACACGAAATGGATGTACATAATTAATAGGCTTTACTGAGACATCACATTTTATATTGAAGATTTATCCTTTTTGCATTTACTGTTCAGTATATTGGTGTACATACTAAATATTCAAACACGTAACTATCGATATACGTAATTACCCAATTTTACGTCGGGTTCTCTCATTGTAATACTCGTAATAACTAGATATACGAACTGTTTTGCGCACGATTTACTATAAAGAATATTTCACAGACACCTTGTACGTTTGCTCGTGTAATCTTTGCTACACGTGATAGCCTATCATCGGTTGTGAAGCGTGACGAAAAAATCTCACCTGTGAGCTATAGCGCAGTCAGAGTGGAACAAGTATTAAACTCAACAAGACACGAGAAGGAAGTGATCAGCTAGCACGAGGTTTGTAGCAAGTAAACATTCGCGGGACTTCTCGTGGTTTAGGACAGGTTGAGAGAACTTTTGATAACGTGTTAACAAAGGCTTTATATTTATTAAGACATTCCCCAGAACTTCAAACTACACATTGGCCATAAACATTGATCAACCGTTGTTGTAAACGTTTTTACCGCAAGCTAACTGCTCATTTGGCAGAAACTGTGGCGAGGACAAAATACATCGCATTGTTCGGCTGTTTCCAACCTCTTATTTGTTAGTTGTGTGACGCCCTTATCTGTTTTCTCTTTGAAACAGTGTTGTAACCGTAGTAATCTAGTACTAACACGGACGTTTTACATTGTAACCCTCGAAAAAGAACTTGAATGCAGCGTATTAGAGTAAGCTTGATGAAGAATATAGTTGAAAAAGGTCATGAGTCCACAGCCCGAAGTACCAGTTAATGTGCAGAAGTACATTGGTACAAGTCTTATAAGTCATCAAACACGTGGTAAGAAGAATATTTGTCCTTCTCTTCCAGGAAGGTTTTTGCATAAGGAAGGGCAACAAAACGCAAGAGGAATATGTCATGATTATCAGCACCCAGTTTGTAACTGTTCATCTAGTGATCGTAATTTTTCAAAACAGAGCCACTCGAAACTTAACAATTGCATTTGGACAGGAGTGCCATTAATCAGTTTATCAAGTAGACGAATTAGAAATCCAGTTAAACCCAGATATGAAATTACCGGTAGTAGAGATATGAAAAATGGATTTATTCGGGCGCATAAATATGATTTTTCGCATATATTGGAAGAGAACATTTTCTCCATGTCGCCTCCCCGATCCAGTGGTTACTCGTATATAAATGTGAATGACATCTTACCAATGTCGAAGCTAGCTATTCATACACATGGCTCTCCGTTAATAATTTCTACGGAAGGGAAGGACAGAATTAAACCATTTTCTGAAAATTCGAATATTTCTGATGCTACTATGCCAGATGGAAAAAATTTCGTTCCAACACAACGATTTCAACGACCGGGACATTTCTGTTGGACAGACGATAACCACAGAAGGAATGTCGTGAGCTCTTCATTACTCTCAAATGGTACATCATTAGAACATCTCCAGTCAGGAGATGAAACGACCTCTGTAAGTGGTGAATCGGATGGAAAATCTGAACCAGACTCCGCTCGACAGTCACAGCAAAGTGATTGTATTAGTGTTACATCGGAAGAGTCTTCTGGAACTTCAGAGGTCTTCGTGCCACGCATTATAAAACCACGAAAACGTCGAAGACGGGATAAGAAAATAGCCACGATTCAGAGTTCGTTGTGTAGTGGAAGTAGTATACTAACGTTAATACCTTACCAGCCCTTGTGTTACAAGTATTATGAACGTCCCAAGACTGACACAAAAGAAACGCACAATAGGGAACTTGGTGATAGTGATTCAGAAGAATCGCAGCCACAATTTTCGGATTGTCGTGATTCACATGTGGATCTGAAGTTACCTGAGTGTTCTTTATTATCGACTAGTTCCACTCATTATCGTGAAGGTCGTTATCCATATCCTCCATCTCCATTTTGTAGATGTATATACTGCGTAAATTCCTCATCTTCTATGCTTCCCATTATTCCGAAACTAGACTCCTCAAAACCGTTAATTAGAAAAGAAACGGTGAGTTCATCTCCAGAATCGGTGTGTGAAGTGACTGCTCGTATTGTTACTTCTCCTTGCGGGAGTCGCGATTTAGAAATAAAGTTTCTCCCTACCTTGAGTTCTTGTTATGGAGATGATAAAAGTACAGCAGACGAATCTGAAACAGTCTCTACGTCAGGTTCAGAATCATCATCTCCATCTTGTATAAGTCCTTGTAAGTAATTATTATTTGTCTTTGATGTCTTTCAGTTGTAGAAATGCATAGACAAATAATTTAATAAATCAATTAGGATTAAATATCTGTTTCTATTCCGACATAAGTATGTTGCATGTTTTTTCTCCTATCTGAGCTAAATAATTTGATGCAGTTTTTTAACGTCATTCTTATATTGTGTAGATAATTCAAAAACTTGTGATAAGAATTCGCACACGATTAATTTCTTTTTTATATGTGACTTTTGCAGGTTTTACTCCTCATATGCCTAAAAGCTTTCGTACTTCATAATCTAAGATGCTAAACACTATGACATCAAGGTTTTACACCCATTTTTGACAAACTATGAACTTTCTAGGTATCTAAGCTGCTTTTATTGTATAGATCACACGAATTTTGAATATTACAAACATGCATCGAACTCTTAGTTACATATATACAAACTCGAGTATTTATCAAATTAAGAACTAGTCGTAAGATATGCAATACTACATTAGTATGATACGCCAAAATATGTAGGTTAGAAAGAGTCCAAAAGAATGGTGAAGGCATTGCTGTTAATGCTTACCTGTGAAATGTTTATTTAACGTGTTAATATACGTATCCATAATTCATAAAAACTGTAATCGGCGCTGTTTGTATCAAACAATGCAAACCATAAATAAAGTACACATTCGCTCAGTATTTTGTATGTACAGCGATTCAGTACGTATGACTAACGTGTAATATGAATTTCGTGTGTATCCAATTGATTAGTTAGTTATTTATTTTTTGTCTAAATATTCTTCAAAAGTCATTTATGAGAAATGGGGAGTCAGTTAAACACATTTTTTATTCAGAAAAATGGATGACCTTTTTAAGTACCTGTGTAAGTTGGTTACTATGCTTTCACAGCTCACGACCTAATAAGGTTTAATATGATATGTATGAGACCACACGTATTTATGTGTATCCAGTGTCAGCTGGCACTGAAATAATGTCTACGTTTTTCTTATTCCTCAGACGTAAACAGTTGGAAAGTGGGACGTGCACTTTGTAAAGATTTGTGTAAAATATGCTTTTATTCATAAAAACGTAACATAACACAAAGTTGCATCTTTTTTTTTTGCTCCAGAAGATACGAAAAAAATTGACTTTTTCAAATGTTTTTCCTGCCCAGAATCTTGCGATTTTTAGAACCGAAAGGTATTGTTACCGATTTAAAGTGGTCAAAAACCTATTGTTTAAAATTTAAATGATATGCTTAACGTTGAAGATACTCAAAATATAATTACTAAATATCATTATTTTATTTAATACTATTTTGCTTATTTAGTCTTGCAGGTTATCTGAGCAGATTTGACAATCTTTTATATTTTTCTTCGGAGCTTGTATTTGTTTCTGGCTATATCACCACAAACATCTTTCCAGTTCGTCATGGACTGTATAAATAACATGTTCTAGGTTGTCAGACTAAATATTAATCATAGTTATGCATTTTGCTTCTACAATTAATCACTGTGGTATTTCATCATAATTATTTTTATTCATATATTTTTTATAAGACATTATATCTGCACATTTTATTACAGCCACGAAAATAGCATTTTTAGTAAAAGTTATTTTACGTGTCTTATCGATCCGATGAAAATGCATATTACAAAGTGAATATAAAATGTTCATGCTATTAAATGAACTTTTCTGATTTAAACTTGTGATTAAATATTTTATGAGTGTCGGCTTTTTGTAATTTCCAGTTCAATTGCATCCCCTCTGTAATTTACGTCTTATCGTATGTAATAAAATCGAATTGAAAACAAACAAATTTCTAAACTAAATACTTTAAAACATTAAATGATGGGTTTGAGTTGTGTGTTTAAGCGTAATGTGAACTTTAGAATTTCTAAACTGGAATAATGCATACAGCATTTTATTATTATTATCATTATATGAGATTAGATTGTTTTGAATATAAGCTTTAGTTAACATCTGGTATGCAGCTATAGCCGAATCATACCATCGTTGTTTTTATATTAATATACATGTTCTTAAGAAATCTGTATGTACATGCAGAATTCTTTTCAACTTTTAAGTAGAAAACGTACAACCTCGTCATTTTGAAATTTATTGCAGAAAGGAAAGACGTTTTTTGTGTGTATAACTGAGCCTTGTTGATAGAAACGTGACCCAAGCGTATTAAATAATCCCTCCAAAATTACGTTTACCCTTCTTGAAAATTATATAACCTAAGGAACGTTTATGTACACGTATTACTCTGTAGCATCGAAACATCTACAAATGTAGTGCATTGGCCGAAATCAAAATATTTTTTTTATGATGTGGTTTTGACCGTTTGACGTGCAAGCTGACTCGATAAGACTCGCGTGATGTTCCTGTACTGTCAACGTACTCAAAACATCTTGGCAAATTCAGTTAAAACCGTAAGCTTATTTTCTGGATGTCTGCCCATGTTATTATAAAAAGGATAGTTCTACTAACAAAGAATTGTGTGTAAAATACAACAGTATATTATGCTTTTCCAAATTAAAAAAAAGTAATGTAACCTTATTCTTATTGCATATGTGTGTGTGGTCATGGTCGTGCATGAGTTATTGTTATCTTTGTTGGCTAGTAACTAACTTAAATAAATTGAACAGTTTACTAGCCGAGAGAGCAGACATAAATTTTGCAGACTTATCAGTCTAAGCGTCATTCAGCCTGGGTTATTTTTACAATTGTTCCGCACTTGTGCGGCCTTTGTTACAAGTTATGATTTTAAATAGACTGGAGCCAAATTGGTATTCATCCATACAGACACCTTTAAGGAGTAAACATTGAATACGTGAACTGCCAATCAATGGGCTTTTTTTTTATATCCTATCCTTACTAAAACGTAGAAAATTATGTAAACATTTTTCATGACTTTAAGAAATATACATTGTTTAGCGAATTCTAATTATGATTGTCTTCATCGATAAACTTTACAGGTGTAATGATAAGTCTTTAAAGTTTTATTATAAATCTGGATATATTTTGTTTGAAAGCTCAGCACTAAAATGATATATTGTATAGTACCACTACTAAGAAAAACTAGTTAAAATTTGAATAGTATAATTTACATATTTTGAAATGTGTGCAGTGCGCTATTAGTAATATAAATACCGTTTAACAGTCAGCATTTTCACGAAATGAATGTGTATATTAAAAGATAATTTGTTAGGAAAAATAATTTAAATAATCAGTCTTTTCATTGTATATCATCAGGGCCGTTGTCAGTGCCCTTGTGGCCGTAATGGGTACATAACTATGTTGAAGATTCTGAATTGTTTTGTATCAGTTAAAACATAAATACATGTATATCTAACATAACGTACTTAAAGTACATTTTAGTAACAAATTAGATTAAAATTTGTGTGTTGTAACAAATATGGAATAATTATTTTGTTTTGTTTAATGTGATTAGCATAAGAGCCTGTTAGCTCACGCAGCCTGCATGGAACTGTTATTACAGTCAGTTACGTCACACATCGGGCAAGAACGCTTAGAAGAGTTCAGTTGTGGAGGAACTGTTATAAATATAGCATCTGCGTAATAGCTTGCAAATGATTTAGAATGCATATTAAATGGATATAATTTAAGAAGAAGATTAACCAGGCTGAGCACTTAGCCTGAGAAGTGACTTAGTGAAGAGGAATAAAAGATATATCAAATGAAGGACTAAGAAAATAATACTCTGGTTCAATATAAAGAAAGAAAAAAGTAAAAAAAGATGCACTTGATAATTTTTTATTACCTGTATATTAAAAGAAGTAGTAAGTGATAATGAATTGAAAAATGTGATGACTAATAAAAAGCAAAGGGCATCAAATCAGTAGAAGAGGATTTTCTGTATTTTGAAGAAACAAATAATGAAGATAATAACAATATTTCAGAACTTTACAATTTGGATATTGGTTTGTGGCCATATAGTACAGAGAACCAAACAAGAGTTATACATTAATAAAGAATGGGCTTATACAAATTAAATGCATTATTTTTCCATGTTATGAAAAGCAGTGTGTCAGATAATGGGAAACATTTCACATCCTTGGTTGGTGTTTTCTGTTTGGTAACAAGAAAATGCAGCTGACAGATGGTTTTCATTTCTGGAAAAACTCTTGAATATCACAAGAAAACCTTTTGAAATGAAAAAAATTGGAACTCTAGTTTAAAGCAACTTTACAGTAAAAATTGTTGCTGAAACTGTAAGTAAAATTGAATTGTAGCAGTAAGGTATTTGGTAGAAATAATTTGGGCTTTTTGTTGAACTGTTGGTTGGAAAAGTTACCTCAAGAATAGAAAATTTTAACTCAAGTGAAATTAATGACAGTTTGATCCTTTAATTGAACACATTTGTAGGTTAATAAAAAAAATTAAGTAATTCTATTATTTGTGCCTCAAAATCCATATTGAGCTAATACACATTATCTAAAAAAGTCATTAATCCAGTCATTCAAAAATTAAATGTATGAAAGTTCTGTTCCCTTATTGTGGACTATACACTTGAATATCCAAGAGTTAAATGTTGAAAAAAATTTTCATTTCATTCCCTAATGTCAAGGAGAACACAGGTTTTGCTTGTTTTAGAGGTCATTCTTGAAGAGGATATGAAACAGGGAACACTGTTTGAAGATTGACAATGTCTGGGGTATGATAATAGCACAGATATGAGATCCCAACACAAAAACATGCAATCTAAGTTGTTGCAGTTAAATAAAAGTTTTTTTCACTCCTTGTAGGTGTCATTCTTTCAACCTTGTACTGGATATGCTGCAAGTTTCTACAACTGGTCAAAAACCTTTTACAGTTCCTTTTTCAAAGTATATTTACTATTTTGCAGCATTAATTAGTTAGAAGATGGGATGTATTATTGAAAACATAAAAACAGTGGGGAGGCAACCGAAAGGTTTATAGTCAACATTAATTAAATTAAAGGAAACTACAGTGGATAGTCTTCATCCTATTCTGAAGTTGGATCATTA